AATTGAGATTATTTTCTACGAATGAGTCCCCAGATCTGCAGATACTTAATCTGCTCTGTAGTTTATCTGCATGGATTAAAAAGTACATTTTTTGTGCAAAGTAGTCATATAAGCAATGGCATGTTTTTTGTTTTCTTTTTTAATCATGTTTTTGCTTTAGGCCCCATTAGAAAGAAAAATGCAGCAGATTTTTTTGGCATTTTTTTTGGTTGATTTGCAGCCAAGAAATTTATTTTCCAGAAATATTGCCACAAATTTGAAAATAATATTCTGGCAATAATGAGAAGTTTGCCACTAACAGAAAACTTGTTTATTGTTAGTTTTTCAGAACAGTTTTCTATTAAATTCCTGCTAAACTTCTAGTACTAACAAGTTGGACATCAGTGGCAAAGATGGCAGTTCCTGTTTGCAGCAGACAGCATTTTGGCAGACAGCTGTACTTAACCTTTTGCAAATGTGCTGCAAATTTGCAGCAAAGTCATATTTTTATTGAAGCATATTAGATCTGTGCCAAACTTGCAGTGGACTTGTGGCTAACTTACTAAAAACTTGCTGTCGGTTTGCTGCAGAGTTGCGTGAAAGTTTCAGGGTTTACCGCAAGTTAGCAGCAAATTCATGCACCGTCAGTGAAAAGGTTGTGGGTTTGGAATCTGCTGCTCATCTGTTCAGTTTCTCCAAAGACATGCACGGAACGTTAAATAGTGATTCTAAGTTGGCTGTAATTATGATTATGAGCATGAATGGTTGTCATCCAGTACTGGCTCTGATTAACCATATGAAGGATAAAGACGGTAAAGCTAATGGACTGTTGGTTAGCAAGTAGTCCACTGTGACTTTCCCACAAACCTACTTTCATTTTTGACTGTGGGGACATTTACCAACATTTAGCCACAACTGTTTGCCAGAAATCTAAAATCTGACAATCAGTTTTTTTTTTTCTATCTGTCCCTGCGCTTTAGCTGCTGAAGCTAACGTTAGCCTGCACCAACTTCAACTAACTTCAATGTGAGAACAATTTCAGCCTGCAGCTGGATTTATTGTTCTGTTCACCGATGGCCTCGTGATTGATGGAGTCGCCCTGAATTTTAGTGTATTTTTGTGGTTTTTAAACAACTGGCTTTGAACATATTGTGTGTTTGGGGTGAATTTTTAAAAGCAGCTCACATTTTGATCAAATATCCAGACTTCAGGTTTAGATTTGTTAAGTTTCTTGACAGAATGACACTTAACAGACGAGTAGTTTGACAGAAATGTGATAATCTGACTTTTTTTTCCCTCTTTACAGTTTCTGTATCTGTTAAATGGTGTAATTTGGTTGATTTAAGCAAAAACCTGCTGTTGGGTTTACAGGTCCTGAGGGTTAAAAGCAAAATAACAAGTCTCTCTTTCATTTCCTTGAGCCCTCTGTCTTTGACTGAGTGTAAATGATTTGATTTTGTGGTTCTGCTTTGCCTCTGACAGTAATATTAATAGACGTTGAAACTGAAGGTGACCAACTCTGCTTTAAGCACTAATGGTGTAATAAATATTACCATAAACTGTGCAGGATGTAAAAGTTAAACTCGTTCAAATCATGATCTTTTTTATAAAAGAGATTACTTTTAACCTTGAAATGACATCACATCTATTTATTGATCGCTTGTGTTTTGCGTTGTAACTATTCAATTTCCCTGTTTTCTCATTTGCATGACCATTTGCATTTTAAGAGGATTAAGTCGTTCTTAGTCACTTTTTAATTAGCCTTAAATTTAATTTGGGAGAATGAAATGGACTTTCCAAAAAATAATTAATTTCCTGTTGTCGTTATTATTCCGAGGCACTTCCCATGAGTTGTGCCTGATATAAAATTGGCTTTATTTTTTAAATGTTGCCTCAAATTTATTCCAGGTAGCGTTCTTTTGTCTTGTTTTTTTTTAAGCATGCAGACACCCTGACAGTGCTCTTCATGCCTGCTCGTCCTTTATCTTCCCCCTTCCTTCCCTTTGTTTCCTGCCTTTCCCCTCTTGCTCCATCCTCATTTTGCCCTCCTCCATCCCTCTTTCTCCCTCCTCCGTTCCACCCAGAGTAATTCCATCTCTCTCCCAGCAAACAAAGGGAGCTAATGACATGCTGACACCGAGCCCGATGATTGAATTCATTAGGCGTGCACAATAATTGCCAGGCACGAGCGTGCACGCACCCATCTATTCAGAGGACAGCTGTCAAATAACAAGCAAGAGAGAATAGCTTTTTATTGTTGAGCTGGAAGAGAGAGTGAGAATGAATATAGAGAAAGAGTGAGAGAAGCACCTGTTGTGGAGGGGAAGAGAGAGAGAGGGAGAGAGCACTCAGCATGTCAATTAGGCTGCTGTTTTCATGCAGGCTTTGCGGGGAAGTTTACTGCCTGTTTGACGCACTTGCCATCATGATTCAGGTGCACGGTTGGTGCAGTTTTTATTTTTTTGTATCCTTTACATAGTGAATGTGCTTCTCTGAATCCTTTTAGTCAGGAAATATTAGAGTCAGGTTGGAAATGAGTTTTGATCTTGGGCTTAACATTAAATACCATAACTGTCTGGTAAGGTTGGGCATGTATTAGTCATGGATGCTGGATAATAGAAAATCTAATATAGAAAGACAGTTGTACTGAGTCACCTGTAATAGGGTGCATATAGAAAAACTACTTAGTAAGTCTTAGTAAGGTCAGAAAAGCTTTAATGCACCTTGGCTTTGATTCTACAACTCACTAAGACTCCTACTGGAGGGATCCAACACCTGACTTCCAAGAGATTTTCACTAATTTGCCGTTTTGGTGATGACTGTGGGCAACATTTGGTCCAAAATCTCCAGCATGTGTCCAACTAGGTTTCGATCCGGCAACTGCGAAGGCCGTAGAATCGGATTTGCACCGTTTTCACCAAATCCTTCAGTGACCCATCGTGCCCTGTGGATCAGGGAACGGTCAATCTGAAGGCGACCAATCCCGTTAGGGAAGGACGATTCCATCATAACATGACGGTGATTACTCAGAACAACTTTAAACTGATTTGTGGTGACCTTTCCCTACGAGGCGACGAGGTGCCCGAACCACCCCAGCAGAATAAGCCCCACAGCATTAAAGGGTCATCCGATCCTCTCACTTTAGGGATCAAGGGCACTTATTTGTAATTTTGTCCATATTTGGAGTTTTTGTTTCATTGAAGCACTTAAAATAGTTCCAGGCACCACTATAGCTCACCTGGTTGAGCTGGCGTCCCGTGTACAGGAGCTATAGTCCCACCTGCAGTGGTCGTAGGTTTGAGTCCCAGTCATAACCCTTTGCTGTAGGTCCTTCCCTCATTCTTCTCCCCTCACTTCCCTGTCTCGCTCTCTGTCCTGTCCAATAAAGCTGAAAAAGTAAAAAAAATAGTAGTTGTTCTAAATCAGGAAGTATTCCTTCAACTGAACTGCATGTTTTCTAGGATTGCATGTGCTTTAGGTATTTCAGATATATAGGTTATGCAAACAGTGTTCCAGTTATTTTGAGCTAAGCATAAAAAAGTACAAACATTAAATAATATAATATAATAAACTGGGTGTACATTCAGTAATCTAAGTAGAAACAGAAGAGTAGAAAATATAATGGGATTAAGAAAGTAAATAAATAATAAATGTCAGCGTCTAACACTAGAGGTAGCAGTTTCATCAATCTGAGCGTTGGTTTTTACAATTATTGCACAAGTTTGAATGAAAACGATTGCACAAGAATAAAGGATTGCACACAAGAGGTCTTTCACTGCTTGTTGGAATTCAGCGTACAAACGTCCCAGAGAAAACAGCCGTCTGTGAGAACGGTTGTCTGAGTTTCACTGGTCCTGCAGCGCCTGCCAGACAGCAGCAGGTCAAAACAGGTGCTGACCAGGTTGTGCAGAGTCCTTTTAGATTTTTCTCCTGAGGTAGCGGGAGAGCTGGAGATGTCTTCTAGGGAGGGCGGAGAGCAGCCGGCGGTTTTACAAATATAATGTAATGTGTGCTGACAGACGTGGAGGTATGGAGCACTTCTGTGTGGTTTACTCACTGCAGAGTCACAGTAAAAGTCGTTCAGCTGCATTTGGTTCAGGCCTTCCTTTAGTACATTACATGTCATTTTAGATGTTGGCTACTGTGGAGATTCATTTTACTGCCCAAACTTTGATGCATTCTTTGTGATTGTTGGATATTAAATGCATTAGTAGGATGTAGTTTGTCTCTGGTGGAGCTACGATCTTGCCTTCATGTTCCTTTGTGGATGTTTAGTTGTAAGAATGCGTCAAACACAAACAATACCAAAAGTTTCTCTTAAAGATACGAATCAAACCTGTTAATCATCCATTTCCATCTATCATCCATTCTCATTCTTTTACCATCAGTTGTAATTCAGCCAACCTCTGATTTACCGGCTCAGCCAACACGTCAGACGCTGCTCTGACAAAACCCCGTTTTAATTTGCGACTTTTTTAAAGTTTTAAAGAGCCACCTGTTGTATATGGTTCAGTATTAATGAACTTGTGTCTTGTTGCTTCCTTTATACACTAAGCACCTGTTTTTAAGCAGACGGGCACTTAGCTGCGCTCGTCTGTTTAACACTAATATATCTGATGTAGTTAATGAGCTTGCACTCTGATTTAGCTCACCGCTATCGGCCCGGCTGCAATTTACATGCAAGTACTTTTCATTAACCTCAAGTGGCCAAATGAATGTCCTTTTTAACTTTTGTCCTTTGGCTAACCCGAAGGAGCACAGCGAGGGCTGAAGAGGCTTTTGTGTTCTTGCTTTAGGCTGGAATAAATGCATGACTGTTTTTGTTTTGTATAATTAAACACTCATTATAGCAGGAGCTTTATTACTGTATTTAAATGTGACTCTGTCTCTTTGGGCTCTGCAGATTTTGTGGTTGCTGGTTCGGCTGCCTTTTATGCTATTCAAGGTTAATTTTTATTTATTTTTTTGGTTAGAACAGTTTTAAAGTCTATTTCTCTTTCTTTTTGTTCCCTTTCTTTCAGAAGAGCGAGGAGGATGAGTTGGTCCTGACTCCAGACGGCACCAGAGAGTTTCTGACCTTTGAGATTCCTCTCAGTGACTCAGGTTCAGCAGGTTTGGGCGTCAGCGTCAAAGGCAACCGCTCCAAGGAAAACCATGCAGATCTGGGCATCTTCGTCAAATCCATCATAAATGGAGGAGCAGCCTGCAAGGTGCAAAGCCTTCTGTTGGAGGGTCTGAGTGAAATATAAAAGAAAGCTGAACGATGTTGGAGTTGTTTTTCTTAGAAAGCATTTTCCGGTTAAATAAACAAGATCTCAGTTGACGTTAGTAACAGTTTTATTAACATTTAAGGAATCAGTTTTGTGTACGTCAGTGAATCGTATCTGATCCACTGCAAGCTACAGCAAACTTAGATTTAGAATAATGGTTGATTCTTTACATTCAAATGTCTGTGCAGGTGTTTACAGTGTTTTAAATCATTCTAGGCCTAAGAAGGCAGCTTAACACCATCTGAAAGTCGAGTCTAACTGGGAGAGTGAAGCAGAATCATTTTTCCTTTTTCCTCGCAAGTATGAAAAAAACACAAAGTGCCCAATTTTCTGTTGCTGTCTGGTGTGCCGCAGTCAATTTCACTAGTCCTTCAACTTGATTGTTTTTCATACAAACAAGCTTGTGTTGACAGCACATAATAATGGACTTAAAAGCACTCTTCTCTGCTAGACATTAGATCATGACTATGAACAGGATACACTCCCTGAGCGAGACTGTTAGTCTGATTAGATCAGGGTTACTGTTAAGTTGGAGATACGACTGCTTTTTATTCATCACACAGCGTGCACTGTTTAGTCGTTGGAGAAACACAGTTTCTACCTTTTCGGTTCAAAATATTTATCAGTCATTTCTTGTCCACCTAAAGGACGGGCGGCTGCGAGTGAACGACCAGTTGATTGCTGTGAACGGAGAGTCGCTGTTGGGCAAAACCAACCAGGACGCCATGGAGACGCTACGCAAGTCCATGTCGACGGAGGGCAACAAGCGCGGGATGATCCAGCTCATTGTGGCCAGACGAGTGGCCAAAAGAAACGAGGTGAAGGGCAAGGACAGGCTGGATTCCTGTTTCAAAAGAAATACATGTATTTCAGAGTTTAAATGTTTTATTATAAGAATCTACTTTTGCTGATTTGGCCGTGAGACACATTTTACAAAGGATTCTGTGAGGATGAGCAGCACAGTTGGTCAAGAAGGGTTTAAACAGCTCAATAGTTCAACCATACCGACTTCAAATATTAAGACCACAATCACAAAAATGGTAGTTTATTAAAGTCACATCTGTACATTAAACACAGTAGACTGGAAATGCCCACAATTCAAAAAATCTCAAAATATTTCATCGGAGAGATGGAAAAATTGGTGTACTGATGAAAAACAATGAAAGCAGGTTTAGTTAATTAACTATGACGGATACAAATCACATGACTTAGACTCAAGCTTCTGCTGTGATCAGAGGTTCAGTATCAGTTATTCAAAACTCTTTATTTTGATTGTGCAGTTTTGCTTTTTTTGGTTTGCTTTTTTTTTCTTTTTTTAATAGAATTTCTTTAAAATTGTCACCGTTTACTGCTCACCTCGATGAACTGAGGATAACCCAGCTATAGGTGCAGGCATAAAGAGCTGAAAAGAAAGCAACACCGCTATAAAAATACAATTATTTTCCTCCAAAATGCCTTGAGCACAAAGAAAAGTCCTGACTGGCGTGTTCTTCCGTATAGAATCCACAGTATATATTTATTAAACACTGTGGAGTTCACATGGGACTTGAAATGATGAAGGCATCATCAGTCACAGCTCATGAATGAGAAAATTAACTGTACGGTACTTGTTGTATTATATACAACAAGGTCAGCTCTGAACTACTGCAGCACATGTAAACATAATGATTCTTTTTTTAATTTACCTCGACCGAGCACATGTGACCTTTGCAGCGGTAGTCGGCTTTGCACTCGGGTTTCACACGTTCACACCTCAGAACTGGCTGCACGCTAAAGCTGCTGTTGACTGTTGACCTCTGAGCAGTTCCAGTGGAAGAACTGTGGGCTAAACACTCTGCACAAGGACGTGTCAACACTAGTTATTGAGTCAAAGGAGATGGATTTCATTCACACTCAATGCTTAGATTTTTCTTCACCAGTTGTTCTGGGATTTGAAGCAGCCAACCGGCTTCCTGCTGCCTCAGTAATTTGATCTAAATCACAGAAGAAGAAAAACGTCCTGATTGAAATCCAGATTGCAGCTCAGTCTGCCACATCCTGCTTCGCTTATTTTAAAATTTCACACATGACCTTTGATCACATGTTAATTATTCAGCCTGGCATTTTTAGCAACAAAATGCTAAGTTGTGTGTGTGTGTGTGTGCGTGTGTGTGTGTGTGTTTGTCCGTGTGTGTGGGTGTGGGTGTGTGTGTGTGTGTGTGTGTGTGTGTGTGTGGGTGTGGGTGTGTGTGTGTGTGTGTGTGTGTGTGAGAGAGAGACATCGCTGTTCCAGAATGCAGATGCTTAAACAGGAGTCACACCGGCACCGTTTCAATAAGCTTCTTTCTGTGATAAATATAAAACACAAATCAAAGCAAACCACAGGGAGCTCCCCTTATGAGCGTCACTTAATTATTTCATAAAGTCAAAGTAAGCAGCCGGGTCACGGTGGTTCTCCATCCCCTCCCACGCACGCTCACCTCCCTCGAGGCAGGTGGAAGAAAAAAAAAAAAAACACGACTGTGAACGGAGCTACACAACTTTTTTCCTCCCCTCAATGTCATGTTTTTACATTCTCTGTACACCTTGGCCTGTCGCCTGCTTGAAAGCTGAGGCTGAGTCCGTGCACAACGCCGCTGTGTGTCTATGGGCGGGCGTGCACGTCCACGTGCACGTGTACGCCTCTGGCACTGCCTGGCTTTCCTGCTCTCCTTTTCCAACCTGGTGTGTCAAAGTTTTGATTTCCCCTCGGTCCGTCTGGTAATTGAAAGCAGAGGCTAAGCCTGGAGGTGTGTTTTGTGTGTGTGTGTCTCTGTGTAAGTGTGTGCGTGTGCGCTGCTTTGTGTCTGTGTGAAGAAGTGTGTAGTTGGTTCTCTTGTACATCCAGCTTATGCATGTATGCATCTATTTTCAAGGATATTTCAGTGTGTTTGTTTGCCTGCGTGTGTGCGTGTGTGTGTGCGTGTGCGTGTGCATGTGTGTATGTGTGTATTGCAGACATGTCAAGGCAGTGAGACTTAACAGAGAGCACGGTGGATGAATAAAACTCGAGCTGTGGGAGTATCGTCGATCTTTGCTTCACATGCAGAGCTGGAGGCATGGCCCGAGGCTGTCCAAGTGTCTGGCTATTTATAAGAAATAGTGTTCACGACACCGAGAAAACTAGAAGAGGAAAACAACAATTTCATACACTCACACTCATAGAGGCGGCTCAGAGCTGATTGAGAAAGTCCCTATAGGCTCCATATGCATGGATTTTTAATGCCTCGTGAACAGCTGTCAGTCAAATATTAGTTAAAATCTAATAATGCCAGATTACTATAGGATGAACGCTGTGGCTCATTCTGACATTTACTGACATATGGCATCAAATAATCCTGTATTTACTTTCCTCCCCATGTCTCCATCCCTTGACAGCCAATCTCAAATCAATCTCAAATGTTTGCCGTTGCATAAATCACATGCTCAGCCGGTTCCGTTCCTCCCTGCATCCCCATAGAAACGCAGCGAGCCCGGAGCTGCTAGCCTCCACCTCGGCGCTGGCACCCGATGGGATCGAGACCTTCCCAGAGCTCAATTATCAGCCTGAATATGCAATGAGCTGCGGTGTGATTTGTCGATGCGCCCTTAGTATGGCGAATCCCCTCGGCTATTACCCAGGCATTTCACCCCGGCCCCTCAGTCGGCCAATTCATTAACTACCTCATTTAAAGTCAAGAGCAGCCGCATGCCAGCAGTCACTGCACCATATGGCGACCCCAGAAATTAGTTTGCTTCTGCGGTGGGTTTGTTGTGTCATGTGAATTTTCGATTGGTTTGGTTAGTTTGTGATTCAAGTCATTTCATTTGTGCAGAAAATGGGTTGATTTCCTGTTCAGCCTTCATGCATAAAAGACAGAACAGCATCCTACAAAGATTAGATTCGTTAGAGGTAAAACCTGCGTCCCAGCAAAACTATAGACGCTTTGGTTGGTATCAGTCCTGTAGTTTAAACAGTGAGCAGCTGTAATTTAATTAATTTATTATATTTTAACATAAATATATCCAAAAGAACATAAACATGTGTATAACCGCTGCCATTGTTTTTTTGTTTGTTTTTGGGGTTTTGTTTTTAATTTCTGAGTCTAAATGAACCCAGTAAATCTCCACGTCCCTCACAAACGTTTGCTCTACAAACATAACGTGTTACTTGTAGAATCTAGTTTCTAGTAGAAACTCTAGATCAGTGTCAATCCCATTATTTAAAGAGCGAGGAGCTGAGATGTTCTTACATTTCTAACAGAGCAGCAGTGCTGTTAGCTACTTGTTCATTAACTTGCTCTATGCTTAAGTACTTATCTTAGGTACCTGTAATTTTTAAAAATAATTTCCTATGTATGCTTCATGTTTTAGACTTCATTCCCAAAGTTATTGTTGTATTCTTACGTTACTACATTTATATGAACGCATTACCTACAGGATTATTAGCAAATAAACGTTTGCATTCAAAACGTTTGATCTTGATGCTTCTGAAACCCGTTTCTGTCTAACTTCTCTCATCCAGTCTCCACATGCCAAGAAATGTTTAAAAAATAGCTTTCCCAGTGATAAACAGACTTTCCATACCTCCAGGTCTGTAGTTCTTATTACATACATTATTGTATTGATGCTTTAATTGTGGATCTTCTGTTGTACCAGTGAGAAAAGCTCATTTGCGCTTATTTGCGATGTGAAAAAAATTATTTCTAGTCTTGAGGTTTGATCGAGCAGCTTCTCCTGAAAAATCATCACACTTCCCACTTCTGCCAGCCTCCCAACATAACCACATATGTATTCTCTCGTAAGCTGCACATGTTTGTTTGTATCCGAATCCATTTCGGCAGTTGTTATTACGACACCTCAACCGTTTAGTGAGCTGAAGAGATCATTGGGCAGAGACCTTCTGCTCAAATCGAATCCCGGTCCAGCTAGTTATGGCCATCGACTGGGGTCGTTTGGCTCCGCTATCGACTTGAGCGTGATGGTGTTATCGCTCGTTATGCGATGCCGACGATGATGGTTATCTGTATGGCACGAGCTGTCATCAGCCTCAGCGCGAAATGCAGAAACCATAGCAAATCAATACAGCCACCGATCCGATGGGCAAACAGTGACGGCAAACACACACACACACACACACACACACACACACATGCATGCACCTTCTCAGGCCGCCGATGTGTGCTTATGGATGACAGGGCCAGCAAATGGTCTATTTGTCCAGCAAACAAGAGAGTGTCATCATGGCTCCTGGGGGAAATGTCAAGATGCTAGCAGGCTAACCGTCCCCTGTGGGATTGCTAGCTCGCTAACAGCCTCTGGCCCAACAGCCTATTGGAAATCCATGCTCATTTATCCTTGTTATCACACTGGTAGCATTAGCATGGATAGCTGCCCCCGTGTCCATCCATTACTGCTCAGCAAATGTTAGCAAGGCTAGTTCACCTCAGCCTCATTGTCTGACTTTCATTTAGCATTAGCAGGGCTCTAGCTTATCGCACTTCTCTCTGCATGAGCATAAATGAGTCTTTATTCACCCACGTGGGTTCAGCTGGTCTAGACACATCATTTGACTGCAGAATAACAAAGTTTAAACAAATTCAAGTCTAACATCACCTCTTTTCGAACAGGAGACGCCGGGGAGCCCACTGGGACCCCAGCAGACTATCAACACCTCCCTGGATGACCATGAGCGCAGAATCTCCCATTCCCTGTACGGTGGCCTGGAGGGCCTCGACGACAACTTGATGCCACGGCAAGGCATGATGCCACGAACAATAGGTAAGATGGACGTCCTGTTTGTGTCATGACT